ATAAGGTGGTGTTACTAGATCAGCTGATTTTGTGTATGGGTTTCGCCTCACGGCTTCTTATGTCAAATTGAAAAATTTTGTTTGAATTTCCACACACACTCTTACAGATTTTGCCAGTTTATGCCGCCAAAGCAAAAACAAAATACATGTAGGTTTTTGTTATTGTACTCCTGCTATCACCTTATATAAATTCGCCTTGGTTTCTGTCATGCTGATTTTAAATGTCATTTCATTCTGACAAGTGATAATAAAAGCCAGCGCCGTTGAGTAAAAATATTCCTTTTTCAGATCTGATATATTTTATTATTTTCGGAGTGCAATTTGTTTTAAACAATTTGAAATTGTGGTCGGAAAATGCTATCTCGTTTACTTCGGCACCGCACATTTACTCGCAGCGTTGGTAGCTTAGTGGCGCAAGAGCAGCATGCAAAACTTTATCTAACACGTTCCAATTGGCGATATGCAGCGCTACAGCGACGCTTCGACGCCAGCAGCGGCGCGTTGGTACTCCAAACGATGACTATTAACTCGCGTAAATATTGCACAAATCGAAAAAAAGATGAAGAGGAGGATTTGGAAGTAGAAACATCGGAGTACATTGTAAATAAGGGCCCTCAGTTACCGGCGACCGTGGCAGTGCCGGAAGTGTGGCCGCATTTGCCGCTGCTGGCAACACGTCGTAATCCAGTCTTTCCGCGATTTATGAAAATTCTAGAAGTGCGTTACGAAGGCCAATCCTGTTAAGAATTCTTTAACATACATAATTATTTTAAGTTATACATGCATACATTACTTTAACACGTGTTATATAATTTCAGGTTTCGAATCCAATGGTAATTGATTTGATAAGACGTAAGGTAAAGTTAAATCAACCGTATGTGGGTGTATTCATGAAAAAGGACAATGAAAATGAAGCGGAAATTGTTGAAAAATTGGATGATGTGTACAGTGTTGGTACATTTGCGCAAATACAGGAACTTCAAGATTTGGGCGATAAATTGCGTATGGTCGTTGTGGCTCATAGACGCGTTAAAATAACTGGACAGCTTTTAGAGGACCTCGTGCCTACACCGAAAGGTAAGAACTATAAATTTCAAGTTGAAAATTTCCGTATATAACGTAAGTGGGAAAGGAGAGTGCAACAAAATGAAGCTTACAAGCGCAATCTATTGATTAAATTTATTTATTATTATTTTTTGATAAAATTTTTTATTTAAAAACACCATGTATGTATATTACATTGTTGCATTCAAACGCCCACCAATAACCAACACCCTTAACCACATGCTGCTAACACAAAGCCTATCACTTCGAACACAAATTCCCTACAACCCAATCGAACCTTTCCCACTCCTATCATATACTTTGGTGCTCTTGTGACATTATGTATAAGAAAATATTTCGTCACAATGCTCTCCACTCAGAGAAGAAGACGACAATACATTTTCCACTCTTTAATGTAAAATTGAACATCCCAGCTGAAGAACAACAAAACGAATTGGAACGACGTAAATTGGCGCGCAAAGTGCGCTCGAGTCGTATATCCAAACGCGATGTTAGTCAAGGTGCTAAGGTGCCCCCTGAGAAAATAGAAGAAGTAGCACAACCAGCTGGCATTGCTGTACCACCTTCAGCGGGAACATCGCAAGTGCCACCAACAACTGGAACCGTCCCACAACCTGTGCTCATGGTTGAAGTGGAAAATGTTAAGCATGAACAGTACAAACAGACCGAGGAGGTTAAGGCACTCACTCAGGAAGTGATAAAAACCATCAGGGATATTATAACAATGAATCCTTTGTACAGGTAGCTTGAGATCAGATTAAATACATATATTGATTTTTAAAGAATTTATATCTTATTTTCACCACAGAGAGAGTTTGCAGCAAATGTTGCATCAAAATCAACGTGTTGTCGATAATCCAGTTTACCTGTGTGACTTAGGTGCATCGCTGTCCGCTGCAGAGCCTGAGGAACTGCAAAAGATAATGGAGGAAATGGATGTGAGTAACATCGTAACCTTTTGTATGGCTAGAGACACTCATTGTAGTATGGAATCAATATTACGATGTTTACCGCATGTGTGTTGCTACAAATCATTGTAGTTTCTAAGTAGCAACGGCAAACTACAATCTTGATATTATAATTTCTATACCACATGTGTGACCCAGGCATAAGTAACAAATTTACATTTATAAACCCGCGGCGCACCACATGTTAAAATGTTTTAAGAATTTCTTTATTTTTTGGTTACTTTTTTTTTTTATAAAAATACAGTTAATTAAACGAAATCCGAATAAATACATTTTCCAAACTTTCTAGCGGGGACCTACCGTTGAATTTTTCGCAATTTTGAATGGGCTACAAAACTTCACACTCAAAGTCTCCCTAATTAGAAAGCTAGAAATATTTACGAAAGATTATTGATTTTTTTTAACATTGCACAAAGTTTGAAACTGGCACCTATGCGGTCTAGTTAAAGAATAAACTATGCAAATTTTTATAAAAAAAATAACAAACAAAAAATAAACTTAAAAACTTGCCAATTTGTGGTGCGCTTATAATTATTACACGGGGTATATGTATGTATATGTAGTTATATAGTATTTAACATTTCACATCTTTCAATTTCTATGCTGTTTCAGATACCTAAGCGCTTATTGCTTGCCTTGGCTTTGCTAAAAAAAGAGCTGGAACTTTCCAAATTGCAACAGAAAATTGGTCGTGAAGTTGAGGAAAAGGTAAAGCAACAGCATCGCAAATATATACTCCAAGAACAGCTGAAAGTAATCAAAAAAGAATTGGGCATAGAAAAAGATGACAAGGATGCCATTGGCGAGAAATACCGCGAAAAGTTAAAAGACAAAACAGTTCCCGAAAATGTCATGACTGTCATTGATGAGGAATTGAATAAGCTGAACTTCTTGGAAAGCCACAGCTCAGAATTCAAGTAAATACATAAAAACTCTGCTCAGGGCCTACAAAAATTATTTAACCTATGCTAATTGTTAACAGTGTTACGCGTAACTATTTGGATTGGTTAACTTCGCTTCCATGGGGCGTTACGAGTACGGAAAATTTAAGTCTGGAACAAGCGCAGGACATCCTAGATCATGATCATTACGGTATGGAAGATATCAAAAAACGTATTTTGGAATTCATCGCAGTAAGCCACTTGAAAGGCAGCACTCAGGGAAAAATTCTTTGTTTCCATGGTCCACCGGGTGTGGGAAAAACAAGTATTGGTATTAACTGCTATAATTATTCCTTATGGCTTTAAAACTAATCGTTGGCATTTTATAGCTCGCTCCATTGCACGCGCCTTAAATCGTGAATATTTCCGATTCAGTGTTGGCGGGATGACTGACGTGGCAGAAATCAAAGGTCATCGGCGTACTTATGTAGGCGCAATGCCCGGTAAACTGATACAGTGCTTAAAGAAAACTAAGACTGAAAATCCGTTGGTTCTGATCGATGAAGTCGATAAAATTGGCAAGTAAGTTGGCACGGAAATAAATTATAATATTAAAGTCTTTGCTATTAATTGATGTTATGTTTCCACCTTACAGGGGCTACCAAGGTGATCCCAGTTCCGCATTACTTGAGCTCCTTGATCCCGAACAAAACGCAAATTTCCTCGATCATTACCTAGATGTACCCGTGGATTTATCTCACGTGCTCTTCATTTGCACAGCAAACGTTATCGATACCATACCAGAACCCTTGCGTGATCGTATGGAGTTGATTGAGATGTCCGGTTATGTCGCAGAAGAAAAAATGGCTATTGCACGCCAGTATCTGATACCACAGGCGATGCGTGACTGTGGCATAACAGGCGATCATATAACTATTAATGATGAGGCGTTAACAACGCTCATTAAAAGCTATTGCCGGGAATCGGGTGTAAGAAATCTCCAAAAGCATATTGAGAAGGTACGAAAATGAACGATTCCTATATCACTTATTTTCTAACGTTACTATCATTATAGATTGTTCGCAAAGTAGCCTATCGCTTTGTGAAAAAGGAAGGCAACCATTTCCCAATTACGGCTGACAATCTGACTACGTTCCTTGGGAAACATATATTCTCATCGGATCGCATGTACAAAGATACACCTCCCGGCGTGGTAATGGGTCTGGCGTGGACCGCAATGGGCGGCTCATCGCTCTACATTGAAACAGCTTCACGTAAAACAGGCAAACTCACAAAGGACGATGATGTTAGTGGTTCAATACATCTCACTGGAAATCTTGGAACTGTTATGAAGGAATCTGCACAAATCGCATTGACAGTGGCGCGAAATTACCTGCGTGATGTTAAGTCTGAAAATACTTTCTTGGAGAAAGGGTAGACGTCTATAAAAATCTATTCGTAGACTCTGAAAGCAATTTAAAAGCTTTATATTTTGTAGGCACATTCATCTACACGTTCCAGAAGGCTCTACACCTAAAGATGGACCTAGTGCTGGTGTAACCATTGTAACGGCGTTGATATCTTTAGCAACGGATCGTCCAGTACGTCAAAATTTAGCCATGACTGGTGAGGTGTCCCTTAAAGGACGAGTGTTGCCCGTTGGCGGCATTAAAGAGAAAACTATTGCTGTAAGTTTAACATGTTATTCTACATAGTGATAGTTAATAATTTTATATGTATATATTTTTCAGGCAAAACGCTCAGGCATTACTTGCATAATATTACCTGAGGAAAATAAAAAAGATTTCGCTGAGCTACCTTCCTACATTACCGATGGTATTGAAGTGCATTTTGCTACCAGCTACGAGGACGTATATAAAATCGCTTTTCCCAATTAGTCTTCGGGAAGAAAGCGTTCTCAGAAACAAAACCAAAATTGCGAATTAAACGATAAGTTAATGCTAAGCATTATACGAATACACCATTACTCGTATCTCTATTTTTAAATTGTAATTGTTTTAAAAATATACATTCATAATAATGTTATAGGTTAGTTACTTTAAAACTGTTTTATGAAAGCAAATCCTTTAGCGAGTATTGAAAAATTTTTTATTTAATATATTACTTTTTAAGGACACAACTAAGATGTTTTAACGACATTAAATATCCGAATTTTCGAGTATCCAATGCATATAATGGTTAACGCTCGTATACATGCCAGGACGATTGGCTTCACCGCAGCGCACACCCCAAGAGACAATACCGACGGTGACCCAGCGACGATTGGGCAATTGTACCAATAATGGACCCCCACTGTCGCCTTGGCAGGAGTCCTGCCCGCCTTCACGAACGCCAGCGCACAGTACTGTATCCGGAATGCGCTCAACCATCGCTTTTCGACAGTCGGAAAGTTTCCAAATTGGCAGCAGTACCTAAGGATATTGAAAGCAAATGGAAAACAATGAAACCAATGCTATACGACTGTTTACCTCCATAAGAATATTCGAATGGGGACCGGCAAAAGTTTGTGTACCCCAACCAGTGACTACGCCCACCTGTCCCTCCCAAATTTGATTAATAGGGGGCATGCAAACTGGCCAGATGTATGTGTTAAAGAGTGTAGCACGATCCAGACGTAGCAGCGCAATATCATTCTCGTAAGTTAGCGGGTCGTAATCGATATGTATCACCATATTCGCAATGCGAAAATCACGCGCACGAGTCTCATTAACCAACAACGTATTATATTCGCCCAAGCGCACAAATATATCATCTTTATTGAATTTGTGGACGCAGTGTCCTGCTGTCAGGACATGGCGATCAGTGACAAGCACACCTCCGCACCACACATATGGCAAACCGGGACGTATTAACGCAGCCATCCACGGCCATTCATCCGGTTCCGCTGGACGGCCGCCCGTAATGCGTGGAAATTGTTTGGTGGTAAGTCCGCAACCTCGTTTCTCGGGCTTGTTGACAATGCGTGCCTCCTCCAAGCCATTATTGTTAACATCAGCAATAACTTGGGGACTGGAACGGTTCTCGGTGTTGTCAGTGCAACAGACGCCTATAGACCTAAAAGGAGAATAGCAATGAATTTATTTAGTTAACAATAAAAGGGAAAAATATGGATACTTTTGTTCAATAATGCACAACTGCGAGATTAAGCGCCAAACATCGTCTTTCAACTCAGGTATGCGGCAGTAGAGTGGGTGTCGGCAACGGCCAACCTCTCCCAACGAAGTGCGGCAGTCACCGTAGTCTTTGTTTTCCTATATAAAGTAAATGATATACATACATACATACTATATGTATATGTATGTACATACATATGTAAGTATGCGAATTTTCATTGCTGCATGAAAACCTGTTTTCTTCGTTGCACTTCCAAATCAATTATTATGTACATACATACAGTGGCGTTCAAAATAATAGCAGCAAAATTCAAAATGATGCTGTTGGCAACTTACCAACCACATCAATAAAACTTTTAAAGCTTACACAAAGTTCACAAAAACTTACTAAACTAAAAAAAATGTTCATCGAAATTTCGAATTTTTTTAATTGCAAGTTTCAAGTCGCTAAATATTACCGTTGATTTTTTAGATTTTGTTTCGCGGAGGGTGTTGCGCATTTTCTTCCATATAACGCATGAACAAAACTTCTTTTTGTATGGAAGAAATGCGCAACAAAAATTTTGTTTTATATGAAAGAAAGAAGTTCTGCGCAAAAATACTTCCTCCCCTCCTTTCCGAACGCCGCCTACACTAAAAGAAGTTCTGCGCAAAAATACTTACTCTCCTCTTTTCCGGCAACACAAAGGAGAATTCTACTTAGTAAGGGTTATAATCCCTAAGCTTGGCCGAAGGTCGCCTACGCAGAAAGAATTATATTTTTAACCGACTTCCAAAAAAGGAGGAGGTTATCAGTTCGTCGGAATATTTTTTATATATTTTTGTTTTTATTTATTTTTTTTTATTTGTTTTTTATTTTTTATTTTATTTTTAATTTTAATTTTTTTATATTTTTTATTTTATTTTTAATTTTAATTTTTTTATATTTTTTATTTTATTTTTAATTTTAACTTTTTTATATTTTTTATTTTATTTTTAATTTTAACTTTTTTATATTTTTTATTTTATTTTTATTTTTTTTATGTATGTTACCGCATAACTTTGGACCACGTCAACCGATTTCGATAATTCTTTTTGCATCGGAAAGGTAGTGTCTGAGGTGGTCCCATGCTAATCTGGTTAAGATCCGATCAGTGGATCATGAGATATATATATATATATATATATATATTTTTTTTTATATGAGAGTGGAAGTCGGTTTTTTTTTTTGCTTAAAATTATATTATCTTATTTCGCTTTACAACTTATAATCCATTTATAAATGGGGCATAAATAATTTGACCAACCGTACTTCTTTCGGAAGTACAGTACTTCTTTTTTCGCTCTTGTACTTCGTACTTCGAATGTACAGTCAAATGTACTTCTTTGCGATACTTTGTTCTTCAGGAGGGAGATTCTGTAACCAGTGAGCGACAGTTTTCGGATCGCTATCGCACTTTTTGACGCATGATATACATGTTTTTGCGTCAAAAAGTGCAATAGCGATTCGAAAATTATCGCTATCTGGTTACAGAATCTCCCCCAGGTCCTGTACTTCTCCGATCTTCTGGACGATCATCACATGGCATGGGCGATAAATTCGTTCAAACCATTAAAGTCACCGGGGACCGAAACATCATGCCTGCGCAGCTGCAAAGGACTCTGAAGGTGTCGTGCAATTGGTTGGATCCTACTTATGTGAACTGCGGGTACATCCCAGAGGCTTGGAGGATAGTCAGTGTTGCGCTCATCCGGAAGGCCCCTAGGGTTTTTAGGCCTATCAGTCTCTTCGTTTTTTCTAAAATGCTGGAGAGACTGATAGACCTGTTCATATGAAAAGCGATTCATCGCGACTGTCTTTCAAGACCTCGACACATTGGTAAAGTGGTCAGTGGAAGCCTTCACACATGAAGACTATGCACTAGGGGCCTTCTTCGATGTCGAGGGGGCCTTCAACAATGTCACTCCAGAGACAAAAGTATATTCATAATCTGGGGGTTGAAACCAACCTAATAAGCTTACTTCGTGACAGAACAGTCGCGGCGGAGTGGTGGAGCGCCTGCACTCAGTGAAGAGTCAATAGGAGCACTCCACAAGGAGGTGTTCTCTTTCCCCTTCTCTGGATTGCGGTTGTAAACGACTTTCTAGAGGAACTGGAAAAAGTGGGCTGTCGTGTGATCGCCTATGTAGATGATGTAAATCTTTTGGTTAGGGGACGATTTTTTTACACCCTTTTTGATCTGGCTCAAGGTTACCTGAACCAGGTAACTATGTGGGTTGTTGTTGTTGCAGCGGCTACAACAACCCCGCCCAGATCGGTTGATATCTCAGTCGTTGTCGTCGAGTTCCACTAACGGCAGCCCCAGGAAGCGTGCAGCCTCTATGGGGTCACAGGGACGGCGCCGTTAGGGCTGTGGGGGTTTCCGGGCATGCCGGACATTCATTCGGCACATCCGCATTTAGCCTACTCAGGTAGGAGTTTAGCCTGCTGCAGTAGCCAGAGCGAAATTGGGCTATTGTTGTTCTGGTCTCCCGAGGCAGATGGAGCTCCGTCGCGTCAATGTCCGGTGTTTGTGTGCCTAGAACGGCATTCACAGGTCTAGAGTCTACATGACTCGAGGCTACGTTCCTGTGAATGCCGTTCAGGGCCTTNGGCATTCACAGGTCTAGAGTCTACATGACTCGAGGCTGCGTTCCTGTGAATGCCGTTCAGGGCCTTTCTGTAAGCTGACGGGTCCAGAGGCTGCTTAATGAACCTCTGGACTTCGTTCGTCAGTTCATATAGATGCCTCCTGACGTGCCTTGGCGAGGGCTCCTCTGCAAGCAGCTGTCTATTTGGGTGGCCACATCTGTGGCTCCCAACCAGAAACTGCTTGCAGAGCATTGTGTTGTGCTCCCTAATTGGGAGCATTTTCGCCTCATCATGGAAGTGGTGTTCTGGTGGCATCAGGAGGTATCCGGTCGCTGCCCTGAGTGCTGTGTTTTGTGCTGTCTTTAGCTTCGTCCACTGCGTCCTACTAGTCCCCGGCGACCACACTGGTGCTGCGTAGTTTTAAACCGGCCGGCCTATTGCCTTGTATGTTGCCAGCAACGTTTCTTTGTCTTTGCCCCAAGTACTGTTCGCTAGCGACTTGAGGACCTTGTTGCGGCTCTATACTTTATTGACAATAGCGTGCGCAGAGAAGGAGAGCAGGCTGTTGAATTTTACTCCGAGTATTTTGGGATTATTCACCGTCGGAATTGGTGTGTCATCGACGTAAATTCCCAGCAGTAGCCTGACACCCTTCGTCCAGGTTGTGAACAGGGTCGCAGAGGATTTCGTAGGGGAGA